TCTCCTTCATGGCATAGTGCTTAATTAGTTAATCACAAGGAAAACTTTACCTTCTACATAAGGGATAGTTATTTATGTGAATAAAATGATACAACCATACATATATCACTATAGAAATGTTCTGATAAAAATCCCAGTTACTTCTAAGAAGCTATATGCTTGTGGATGTTGTAGTCTTCTTCCATGAAGATGACTTAGCTGCAGTCTGTAGGCCCTGGATTCAAACTTCAGCCTAGAGACAAGCTGCCCTGATGCCTCCACCCATTGGTTCATTTTAATGTGGGTGTGTTATCTTGAAATAGTTCACGGTATTTTTCTTCCACATCATTTGAAATTTGTCATTCACTTATTTTTCTTTCAGACTGCAAGAAAAAATAAATCCCAAGAGTAGAACACAACTTGATATCACTTTAAATCTCATTGCTTCTGACTCTCATATACGAGGGTTGGAACTTTAATAGTGGCAACACTGCTGTAGATGCCAGGCAATGGAATCAAATAATGTTGCTTATACCACACGTTAGTTACATGCCTACCTTACCTCAGAGCAAATGGACTCTCCCTCCCCACACCACGCACATGCGCAGTGACGAGTACAGAGCCTCGTGTTAGCTGGCGGTCTAATGTAGAGTTTTCACGATGTTTTTGAAACAGGAACAACGGAGTTGGATAAAGACTGAATGTGCCAGAGGCCGTACAGCACGACAGTGTTATCAAGGTCTTCAAGAGGCTTGCGGGGAATCTGCATTGCCTTACAGAACAGTGGCAAGGTGGGTAAAAGCCTTCGGCGAGGGACGCCAAAATGTGGCAGACATGAGGCGGCCAGGTCATCCTAGTGCCAGTGAAGAAGAAGTGTATGCTCTTTCCGCGTTACTGGAGAGTGATCGACGCCCTATGATTTGTGAGCTGGCCCAAGAGACAGGATTAGTGCATACGACTGTGCTTCACATTCTGAAGGAACGCCTGGGCATGAGGAAAACTGCATCACGATGGGTTCCACATGATTTGACGGAAATGCAGGAATGGCAAGCTGTGGCTGATTTGTTTGATCGATGGAGCTGGGAAGTGCTGTACCATCCATCATACTCCCTGGACTTAAGCCCTTGTGACTTTGACTTGATTCCTAAGATGAAGGAACCACTTAGTGGCATTCGCTTCAGAACTGTTCCAGAGATTCCTCAGGCAGTAGACCACTCTATTCGAGCTATCAACGCAACAGGAGCTGCTAAAGGTATCCTACGACTTCCGCATCGCTGGCAATGTGTTGTACACCATGCTGGTGACTGCATTGAAAGGGAGTAAAAATTCGAAACATGCATCTATTTTGTATCAGTTGTAAATAAATAGTTGCCACTATTAACGTTCCAACCCTCATATTATGAATGTATTGGTTGTCATATACAGGATGCTGTTGAGAATTGTTTCCTGAGTTGGAGCTAAAGGTGGGCCTTTCTTCTATTCCATAATTGGGTATACCATAAATGTCTGAATAGTTATCGAGGACACCATCCACAATTTCTCTGCTGGTACCTAGCCACTGTTTAGACCTTGAAATTTAATGAAATATCTTCTGCATTTTAGTACAGTACTTGAATTTTTAACTGTTTTCTAATTTGAATAAAAGGTTAACTGTTATTAACATTAAGAATAATTATGAAAGCGTAACAAATACAATTTATATGTTGACATGTAGGTCTAGTTTGAGCACATCTCATTGGGCATTACCATATAATTAGACTTCTGTAGTGTGTTACAACTTACATTTTTATTACAGTGGTTTGGTTCCATTGCACAATGCCTGCTCATATGGCCACTTTGAAGTGACAGAAATGCTAATTAAACATGGAGCAAATGTAAATGCAATGGATTTGTGGCAGTTCACTCCATTACACGAAGCAGCATCAAAATCACGTGTTGAAGTTTGCTCTCTGTTGTTAAGTCAGGGAGCTGATCCTACTCTCCTTAACTGTCATTCAAAGTCTGCTATTGATGTGGCACCTACCAGGGAACTCCAGGAGAGGTTGGCATGTGAGTTGAGCTATAGCACTTAGATGGATTTGTAGGCATGTGGGAAATATTAAGTGTTACAAGAAGAGAGAGCTGCAGTTAAAATCTATAAACTGAACTCCGTCTGTGTCAGTTCACTGTACTCAAGATGTATGTATGTTATGAATTACGAGACAGGCATGTAGAGATATACAGCATACTTTCTTTCTTTAAAGCAAGAAAAAATTAAGCTTATGAGATCATGCTGTATCTGAGTATCCCTCCCCGTTCCGACTTGCCAACATTTATGAAATTTGGTATTAATATTATGCTGGTGGAGGCTGTCTAACCATGCAGTTTGTAAAATCCCAGAGGATCAGTAATAATAACATGGCAGTTGTAGGAATGTGTGAGTTGGGAGTGAGACTAGTACCACTTAAAGTAGTGGCCTGCAGCTATGTATGGTAACAGGTCTTTGAGAAATATACAAATTTTGTTAAGATAATATCTTTGCAGAACATAAAACAACATGGTGGTGACACAATAATTTTTATTTTATGTAAACTGCTGCCTGGACCTGCAGTGAATTCGACTTGCTTTATATTTTTTCTGCTGGTGACATTTCCTTCATTTTGAGGAAGATCGCACTGTGCGTGTGCGCGCGTGTGTATGGGAGAGAGAGAGCATGTGCATGTGCATGTAAGTGAAAGATGTATGCTGATGTTTTGCCATCTTGTATAGGGTCAGTTATAATTTTCATGTGTAATACATTTGTGTTCTTTTGATAATTCAGTTCCTATGTGGGTACATCATATGGATGTGGGCAGTGTTGTGAGTGTTCTTGAGGTACATGCTGCTTCCATCTCGAGGGTCAGATTGTGCCCATGTTAACTTTGAAGATGAAGCCACTATGTACCTCCAGAACACTGGCAACATTGCCCAGATCTGCATGGTGTAATGACCAAGAACTGAATTAACATCGACAGTTAATGACTGTAGAATCCCCAAATCAATAATGTACATTCTTTGTTGTTCATTAATCTGCTATTGAATCTTCAGTCATTATCTTTTACACTAATTTCACTGGGTATTGTATTGACTTACAGGGGACGGTTTTTGGTCACCTCTTGAACTCTCAGATCACTACTGGGTCCATTATGTGCCCCAATTGTTGCTTGGGCTCATTGAGAACATCAACCTTAGCTAGACCCAAAACCCTCTAGGTTGAGGCCCTCTTAACTTTCATCAGCTGTACTCTTGCAGAGCCAATCACAGTGGCTGCATGGTCTGAGGCACGAAATACATTTGTTCACTCAAACACTGGGATTGTGGGTTCAAATCCCACTGAAGGTATGGATGTCTGTTTGTGTTAGGTAGCAGCTTTGCGATGGACTGATGCTTCGTCCAAGGAGTCCTACTGACTGTCCAAGATTAAGAAACTGAAGTGAAATGAGCTTTTCATGGTTGCCCTGTGCTCTGAGTGGAAGCAGCAGGAACAGAAGAAGAGGATGAAGAAGAAGACCCCCTCCTTTTGCAGAGCGAGAGGTCATAGATCTGTGCTCAACCAAGTTGGGAACTAAGATAATGCCATCTTCTTTTGTGCTGCTGGCAGCAGGATATCCCAGGCTCCCTCTCTTATTCACTGATAGGAACATCAGAGTTCCCACCACTGGAACCTGCTGGACCTGCTAATGAGCCCCAGTTGAGCCTTTGGTAGCCCTCAGAAGATACCTCTTCTATTAGACAAGCTTCTTCTCCGGGTTAGACATTTACTTTGAGTGGGTACATATTATGTTAGGTTAATCCTTTGGCCATTTTATTTAAACCACTAATGTATGGTGTGAGCCCAAGTGTCCCACCCCCATCTGCCAGGTATTTACCTTTTAAGGGTTATAATTGCTGCATGTTCCATGTTTTAAGTAAAGTTCTAAATATGACCATCTCCCAGAGTTATTTTGCTCTCTGTTATATAGTGATACTGTATTACTTAATTCCTTTTATGACAGTTTTCAGTAAATAAATTTATGCTTTTGCAGATGAGTTCAAAGGCCACTGTCTGTTGGAAGCTGCACGTCAGGCTGATCCTGCTAAAGTAAAGAAATACTTAGTTCCAGATGTAGTTAACTTCAAACATCCTTATACAGGAGATACTCCATTAGTAAGTACTGACATTGCTTGTTGGAGTTGTAACCTAAAGGTGGATAATGTAACTGAAGAAGTAATATCTTTATTTGGAGCTGAATAACACATGCATTAAAATACAATATAAGTAAATTGCTTCTTACATTGCCAGAGAGCTGGCAAAGTTATGTGATATTATTTAGTGTTATTAATATTATTATTAGTAGTAGTAGTTATTTATTTATTTTAACTGCAAATGGGTTTCTACCTGGTGGTAGTGGTACTACAATAAGACACACCACACAAATAATACAGATCGCACAAAGTAACACATCATGCTCAAACAAAACACAGGACATAAATCTACACAAACAATAAAGGACACACTACACACAATGAATACAATGCAAATACACAACTCTCTTATTGACCGTCAAATCATAACATATAGAAAAAATCAGGGTCAGCGCCCAGCTATGGCTTCGCTACAATATACAACTCTTTTATTGACTGTCAGAACACAACATATAGAAAAAAATGCAAATACAATTACAACTACAGTTATATAAATTAATATTAATAAAATAATAAGCATGCTGTACACTAAACAGTAACAGTAATGAAATATATAATGTCATGAACTGATGCACTCATGTTTCACCATGAACTTCCCTTCATTCCACTTCTGTTCACTTCACTACATTTTTTGATGATTCCTCCCACACCTTCACTTTGCCTTATTTATCACGTTCCTAATCCATATCCTAAACTTACTTGATTTACAGGAGAGAGTCCCTAAAGCATCTGCAGGCATTTGGTTCCAGAGCTGGATGGTGCTATTTACAAAGGAATATTTTTGAATATGTCTTCTGCATTCTTCTCCTAATTTTCCAATTATGATTCACTTTGGCTTTCTGCTCCTAATTTTCCTATCATGCTCGACCCTGTTCAGATAGCATAGTCTTTGTATTCTATCACCTATAGCCTTCCAAGCCCATTCTCCCATGTACTCTTTAAAGAGAGCACATATGTGAGCTGTCTCTCTGCACTGTGTCAAGGTTTCCCAGTTCAAATTATTTCTGTGATGTGCAAATTTTGCTGCTATATATTGCCACGTGTTATAATGATTTAGGACAATGAGTCTGGTAATCATTGGTGTACAACTAACATGGTTTTCCTCAGAATTTTCACATAAATTTTGAATGGTATCAATGGAAGATCTTCGAAGCCAACAAAATCATTTTCCAGCTTATCATTACCATCTCACTGCCTATTATTACAGGGTTCTAGAAATATAGTTGTGCACTATTTGTGGGTTAATGGACGTCAGTGAGAATATATATAACGCATACTCCTAGTCTGTTGGGAAGTGTATTTTAAGTGGCTGGATGTTTTAAATTCTGTGTTAACTGTAGGGTTTTATACTACTGCCTTATCTATGGGAAGTTGGGCTTAATGCCATCTTATGCTGAAGGCCGGGAAAGGCTGGAGCTATACGCTCATTTCCATATACATCATACCTAGTGTCTTATTTAAGTAATTATGTCAGGGCATCTTTACCACTTACTTGTGTTGAGGCAGATTGTTTTCTGCCTATTCAGTAAACTCAGTGCAGAGAAGAAGATGAAACTGTGATAAAAAGTAATCTATTATTGGCATTGGGACTTCCTCATCATATATGTTGGATGCCTTATTGCATCCATGTACAGTGTTTCCCAGATATTAAGTTTTCCTGTATAAGATGTGTGGTTGCTGCCAGATGCATGTAAGAACAGCTGTAAAATTTCCCATTCCATATATTTATATAATATTTTCCTGCTTTCATAGTTTATTTTATAACATTCTTAGAAAATTTCCCATTTAATACATTTAAAATAATTCTGATGAATTGCACATGATATGCAAGATTGATAATAATGTGCTTAAAGTCTTTACAACTATTAATAATTTACCGATGATCAGACTGTGCCACAGTTGACGGTCAGTTGTGGACCACTTCAGATCTTGTTCTCATCCTATTGACCTTTCATTTCCAGTTCTGTGATTTTTGTTGTTATTCTTTTATTGAGTGCAGCCAACGTATATCCATTTACACTCAGTCGACATTCAGTATTTTTATTTCGTTGTCCTGTGAGCTTATTATGTGTACCCATGCTTTCATAAATTTAGTAAAAACAAGAAAGTGTTACTATTACTTACAGTAGTAGCAAAGAAATTGAAACAAAGTATGCCAGCAGTTCCAATTAAATGGAAGGCATTGAGTTTGCAGGAGAAACATAATATTATAATAATAAAAATTTGAAAAAGAAAGAACAGAGATCTTATAGACATTTTAACTTGAATTAAGTTTTAAAAAGTGCTAATTTAAAAATCAAATCGACGCGTGTAGATTAACAAAGATTTTATACAATTAGAAAGACTGGTAATTTTAAATTTTAACAAGCAGTGTAACAGCTACGTGAGTGATACACACCTGATGATGGCCATTTAGGGCTGAAACATGTAGTGTGGAGGAGGAAAAGAAGTAAAAACTACAATAAAATTTGTTGCCCTTAAGATGGTATTTATCCATATATATTGTGTGAGTGTAACAGGATGCTGAAATATAATATTCTATAACTTTCTCTTATGCAGCTAACAGATTGATATAACTGACACATACTGCTCGCCATATATGCCAAGTAACATGAAGTTTACTTTATTATGCAGCTGTAATTTTTTTAACTACAGTTTAAACTGTAAAAGTATACTTTGAAATGTAGTATTTGCATATTTTACAAACTGTGAGACATGGATTTATTAAAAGTTGTGTAGATTATGTGGGTATATGTGATGGTGAACCAAATTCATTGTGCACAGTCCTCAAGAAGCTGATATGCATATGCTCAATGAATTCCTCTCTTGTATGGAACTAAAAAGTTTATCATTTTGTTCACAAGGGCCCAGCTACAGACTTTATTTAGAACCAGTTGATTTAAGCCCACGCCCTCAAAAGAGATAATGATATTTGGTATGATATAATAAAACTACCTGAAATGGTGCTTCTCCCCTTGCTGGGGATGTGTGCTGTTTGTACACGAGTTGTATAGCGTGTTTGTATACTGTTATAATTGCATAATAACTTAATTCCTTTCAGCACTGTGCAGTAAATTCTCCTTATCCAAAACGGAAGCAGGTTCTAGAGACGCTTGTGCGCAAAGGAGCACATCTTAATGAGAAGAACAAGGATTTCCTTACACCACTTCATGTAGCTGCTGATAACTCCCATTATGATGTCGTG